GAGGCTTGAGAGTGAAGCCACTTTCCCCAAGCTCACACAGCAAAGACATGGGGACACCGGGACTCCATCCACTGCAGGTTGTCTGACTGGGAACCCCCATGCACCTGGCAGGTGACAGAAATAGGAGGCATGTGCTGGGTTTGGAAGAGACACCTGGTGGGAGAGAGCCCTGTGGAGCCAGATGGGGCTGAAAACAAATGTTGAATGGGAGAAAAGTCGAGTTTCAGAGACACTACATGTAGCAGGATATGCTTTTTATAAAAAGTCCTAAAACACTAAACCTCAACAATATGTTCTTTCGGTTTGCATTTGTGTGTAACAGTAATTAAGAAGCAAGGGAACAATACACAGTAGATTCAGGATAGCAGGCTCCTCTAGAAAGAAGGAGAAGGGGCAGGAGACAGGATAGGGAGGAGCACATAAGTAGATGTAAATTAGTGCTAATTTTTCTAGTCCTCGGTTTGAATGATGGGTTCATCAAGGGTCCATTACATAAATATGTGTTGTTTTTAAAAAATATAATAAAAGAGCCAGGTATAGTTTGTCTTGAACCACAATTATGAAAAAATTCCAACTTTGTGCATCCAAGGATCAGATTTTTTTAAAATAAAGGATAAAAGGAATAAGAAATGAATAGCCAAGTACTCACTATCAAATTTGAGAGATAATCGCCTGGCCAACATGGTGAAACCCCATCTCTACTAAAAATACAAAAATTAGCCAGGCGTGGTGGCTCATGCCTGTAGTCCCAGCTACTTCGGAGGCTGAGGCAGGCGGAGAAACTCTCGAATCCAGGAGGTAGAGGTTGCAGTAGGCTGAGATGGCACCACTGTACTCCAGCCTGGGCGACAGAGGAAAACCCTGTCTCAAAAAAAAAAAAAAAAGAAAGAAAGAAAGAAAAGAAAAAGAAAGAAAACAGTGTATATATAGTTGAAGCTCCTTGTGTTTTGTGTACCCATCCCCAATGCCATTTCCCTTTTTAGTCCCCAGAGAACACCTCATTCCTGACTAGTGTTTTATGTTCCTTTGCTTCTCTTTTTAAAAATTTCAATGCACACATATGCATCCATGAACAACAGATAGTGGTTTTTGCATGACCGAAAACATTAATGAAATTGTATGATTCTATGCATAATAGCCTACTTCTGACTTTATTCACTCAACACTATATTTTGGCATCGGTAGCACCACTTTCCTCATTTTTCTCATCTGTAGAGTATGTATTTTTTGTAACTTTTATTTCAGGTTCAGGTTCAGGTTTGTTGTGTAGGTAAACTTGTGTCATGGCGGTCTGTTGTACAGATTATTTCATCACCCAGGTGTTAAGTCTAGTACCCAATAGGTCTTGCTTTTTGTTCCTCTCCCTCCTCCCATCCTCCACCCTCAACTAGACCCCAGTGTGCTATATATTTTACATGAATGTGGTACAATTCATCCATTTACTCGGTGAAGGACATTTAGTTGTTTATATATTTTTGCTGCTACAAATAATGCTACCATCAACATTCTTAGACTTATCTCCCTATGCACATGTGCAAGAGTTTCTCTAGATCATGCCTTGAAATAGAATGGCAGGTCATGCACATCTTCAGCTTCACGAAGCAATGCCACATTGTTTCCCAAAGTGTTTGTGCCAGCCTGCACACCCACCAGCATTTTATGAGAGCTCCCATGGCTCTACATCCTCACCAACCTTGGTATCATCCAACTATTTCATTCTTGCCATTTTGGTGGGTATGGAGTGTTAGTGTGGTTTGGCATTTCTCTAATTACCAATGAGATGCAACATCTTTTCTTGTGTTTATAGGACATTCATGTAGCCTCTCGTAAAAGACATTTTTGTGGCTCTTGCCAAGTTTTTGTCTATTGGAATGTTGGTCTTTTTTTATCAATGTACAGGCATTGATTCTATATTCTGGATATGCTTTTGTGGGTTTTTGTGTATGGGAAATATCTTTTCACTCACTTTTTTATTTTTAGTTGAACGACAGTTTAAAATTTTGCTAGTGCTAAACTTAGTTTTTTTCATTTTCAGTTTGTACTTCTGATATCTTGTTTAAAGAATTCTTCCTGACTTTGTGGTGATATATATGCAATCTCTAAAGCAACTTCTGTAGATATCAGGTTTCCAAATTTCCTGGCTATTTACTGTGTCGTTATTCTATTGGTCTCTGTGCCAAAACCATCTTAACCACTGCAACTTTATAATAATGTCCACTAGGGCAAGTTCTCTTCACTTAGTTGTTGACATTGCTATGTTACTGTTGTCTTCTTCTCTTCCCTGTTCTCCTTTTTCTTCCCTCCTTCCCCTTCCACCTCTCCCTCTCCTCCTCCTCCTCCTCCTTGTTCCTCTTATCTTCTTTCTTCTCCTGGAATATCTAAGCTATATTTTACTATTGCTCTATATGCTATACATTTTAGAATCACCTTGTCAATTTCCATGGAAAACCTTATTTAGATTTTGATTTCAATCATATCTCTCAACTATTGAATTTATCAATTATGTTGTAAAGAATTCACATGTTTGTGACACGGAATCTTTCCACAATGGAACATGACATGTCTCTCCCATTTATTTAGAACTTCTTTAACATCTTTCTATAAAGTTTTATCATTTTTCACATAAAGATCTTGCATATCTTTTGTTAGATTTATCCCTAGGTTTTTGTTCTTTTGAAAACGGTATCTTTTTTGAATATTATCTTTTATGACTTTTTATTGCTAGTCTACAGAAATGCTCCATTAGTTCCTTTTTTAAACAGATAGATTTCAACTACTCAAGACTCAGACGGGAGTAGATGTGTCAACAGGCACTCAGCAAATTAGATATTCAGAACAGACATTCAGCAGACAATGGCATGGTTGTACTGATTACAAAATTCTTGAAATATTTCTATAATGGGGCCCCTTGATTTCTTTCCTGTCACGCTGGCCATCCTGTCCTCTCCCCGGGGACAGGCCCAGACCTCTCAAGGTCCAGACACCACTGTATTAACACCAGGTATGGCACAGGACTCAAGTCTTGTTCCACTGGGAAGGCCAGTGTCTGTTCTGGGTGTTTGATTCTCATACCTTGTGAGTTGTTAAATATCTTTAATATTATTTCTTAGGTTTGTATGCTGGTAGTAACTAAATACCAAGGGTGAAATATTAATCTGAGTGAATTCTCAACAAGAGGTGATCAGTTTTGGGTTTCAAGGACAGAGTCGGGAGATCTGAGATGTAACTAAGGAGATTCTATTCAGCACTGGCCTCTGATCAATCCCCCCTCCTCTGAAATCCCTGCAGCTTCACCATGCTCTTCTTGAAGCTCCTGCAGGCACTTCAAATGCAACATGTTTTAGTTTAAATACATTATCTCTGTCTGCTAAATCAGCTCTCTCTGTGCCTCCCCTAATTAGTGGAAGAGCTTCTCCGACGATCTTATCCCCTATGGTAGAAAATTCAAAATCATCCTAGACTGTGCCTCACCCGTATGTCCTCTTTTTTATCACGTACCAAGATCTGACAATTCTATTCCATGAAAAAATCTTTTGAGTCTGACCTCTTCTACAATCCCATTGCTGCTGTCAAGTTTTGGAATCGTTTCCTAAATGGTCTCTTGGCCTCTGTATTAGTCTGTTTTCACACAGCTATGAAGAAATACCCAAGACTGGGTAATTTATAAAGGAAAAAGGTTTAATTAACTCACAGCTCTGCATGGCTAGGGAGGCCTCAGGAAACTTACAATCATGGTGAAAGGGGAAGCAAACACGTCCTTCACAAGGTGGCAGGAAAAAGAAGTGTGAGGAGTGAAGCGGGAAGAGCCCCTTATAAAACCATCAGCTCTCACGAGAACTCACTCAGTATCATGAGAACAGCATGAAGGAAACTGTTCCCATGATCCAATCTCCTCCCACCAGCTCTGTCCCTAGACACGTGGGGATTACGGGGATTACAATTAGAGATGAGATTTATGTGGGGACACAGAGCAAAACCATATCAATCTCCAACCTCTTGCTCCTCCAGTCCCTGCCCCCGACACTGCTCTTGGCATTCCAGTCCCTGCCTGGTCCATAACCTACTCCTTCTTCATCTGTGGAAGGGAGGGTAGTGGGAGCCATCAGCCTGGGCAGGGAGGAGTGTTTTATCACTATACTGTTTAGAATGGTGCCAATACAAAGCACGTCAACTTTCAGCCAGTTTATTATTGGGTTTAAATTCTCTACACACAATGCACTGCTTTTGCCTACACCTGAACGGTGTTCCCACTCACTCTCCTTGGTGTGATGCTGGAGATAATATGATCTGCCATGAAGGTTAAATAAAGCAATGTTCACTGAGAACTCAGCCCAGGCCGCTGTACATGCTGAGCATTTTGTTAATGTAACAATGATTAGTAATAGCATTGTTATTGGTTCCTCATCTCTGGCAAAGCCTTCCATGCTTGGCCTCCCTCACTCTCTTCCACCTTCCTAAACCCTACACTCCAGCTATGCCAAACAGTTTACTCTACCTTAGACACACCAAGTTCTCCCATGTTCCTCAAGCCTTTGCAAATGCTCCTTATGCTGCTAGAATAATGAATGTCAATTCTTCATTTAGGATCCAGCTTACAGTCATGCTTTCCATGAAGCCTTCCTCAAATTAGCCACACAAAAGGAGTGAATCCTCCCTGTATTCCCATGGCCCTCTGCTCATGCCTCCTCTTTAAAGCCTGCCTTCACTGGAGTTCCTGGAAGGAAGAGACTGTTCAGCACTCATCTCTGTATCCACAGTCACCAAAATTGTATCTGCCCCATAATAAATGCCCAATACTTGCAGGGATTTTGCTTGTTGGCTTGTTTTGTTTTGCTGGAATGAACGAATAAATAAAAGGGAACGATTATGACTTCACCCTAAGCCTAGCTAAAAGTTTGGGTAGTGACAGTTTTGGTCATTTTGTGGAACCTGATAGCGGATCCTTCTTTCTATGCCAAAAAAAAAAAAAAAAAAAAAAAAAATCCCAAATAGTAGAGTACCTGTTTTCCTAGGGAATTGACCTCAGCAACCGAAGGAGAGGCGATTCAATGCAGGGAGGGTGATGAACAGGTCAACTCTGTCCTCGCAGCCGTCCCTGAGAGGGCGCTGTTCCCAAATCGAAGCCCCAGAGGCGGAGACTGAGACACCGGCGCTCTCCCCCGGGACTGGGTCAGCATCCCTCTCCCCGCGCGGCCGCAGGTCTGGAGCAGAGCGCCTGCCCACAAACATGGCGGCGCCCTGCGCGGCTTCCCGTCGCCGGGACCGTGGGGCCGGCCCTGCCTTGCCAGTACTCGGGGACTTCCTCCGCGCGCCGGCTTCCTGCCCAGCTGGCATTTAAACCAGCGCTTGGGGCTGCAGGATGCTGCTGCGGATGCGGAGCTGTCCGCGGGCTGGGCAGCGTCGCCGCCTCCCCTGAGTCGCCTCGGTCCGGCAGGAGCGGAGCCGAAGCATCCCTTGCTGCACGCAGGGCAGAGCAGGCAAGGGCTGGGGGCCGATCGGGGACCCCGGCATCTGGCAGTTTCCTTGCAGGTTCGACTTTAATTTCCAAGATTGCACCCCTCCTCCTCTAGCCCAGATCATTAATCCTCCCTCCGGCCTGGGCTGCTGGATGCAGCGGCGGCCGGACTTGGTCCCAGGAGCAGGGAGAGTGCGCTCCCGGCCCTCCTAGCCGCGTGCCCGGGCCATGGTGCGGCTGAGCTCCGCGCTTGGGTGAGGCGGCGGCGCGGCTCGGAGCCCGGTGGACCGGTCCTACGGGACATCTTTCCCTGAGGAGGAGTCTTCCCCTGGGGCTGCGTGCCGGGGGCGAGCGGCGGCCGCGATGTTCAGCTGGCTGGGTACGGACGACCGCCGGAGGAAGGACCCCGAGGTTTTCCAGACGGTGAGTGAGGGGCTCAAGAAACTCTACAAGAGCAAGCTGCTGCCCTTGGAAGAGCATTACCGCTTCCACGAGTTCCACTCGCCCGCCCTGGAGGATGCCGACTTCGACAACAAGCCCATGGTTCTGCTGGTGGGCCAGTACTCCACTGGGAAGACCACCTTCATCAGGTGAGCCGGCCCAGGGTCCCGGCAGCCCACCCCGGAGCCCAGCGCCTAGTCCCTCCGGTCACTCCTGGTGCTCCACTCCTGACAGGGTACCAATGGGAAGCCTTCAGTTGAGGGCTCTGAAGATATATGTGTTTGTGCAGGCGTCAAAATCTTACCCCATAATTTTTGCTGGTCCCCCTTCCCATGCTACCCAATACCTGTACACTCTACTTGGCCCTTGGCTCTAGTGGTCAACCTGAAGTATTCAAGTGTAAAGCCATTCCTGGTCTCCCCATCTTATGGATGATGAAATCGAGCCCCAGGAGGCACAATGGAAGAGCTCCTGGTCTCTGGAGCACCTCATGCTGGTGGGGATGTCTTGCATCTTCACTTTTTAGAAACACATCATTTCGGGCAAAACCTCTTCCCTTGCTTTTCAAGGGGCTTGGCACTCACGTGGGGGCCTCACAGTTGCAGCTGAGTTCTGATGGGTGCAGGCCTGGGGACGGAGGTGGCCTGGGGATGCTACTTGTCCTCCTTTTATCATTTCCTTCTCTAAAGCAGAGCTCCTGTGTATATATGTATCTTGGAGACTCGACAGATTCCAGAAGCAGAATGTTTTTTTTTTTCTTTTCTCTTATTTGATCTTAATGGCTCGATAATAATATTAAAGACTCTTAGAGGTGGAAGGGATATTGGCATTGTCTCATCCAGTTCCTGACTTTGCAGGCGAGATAACTGAGGCGCAGAGAAGTTAAATGAATTGTGCAGAGCCATCTAAAGAGTGGGTAGCAGACCTGGGATCTAAGTCCTAGATGCATGTGAGGAGATGGTTGGCTAAACGCCTGTAACTCTGAGAGTGAGTCATCCATTCCCTTCAATTACAGAATCCTTGGGCTGGAGAGAAGCTCAAGAAGTCAATTTGTTCACCCTGCATTCAGAGAGGTCCACCAGAGGCCCTTCCTATCTTTAGATAACAGGCTTCTCTCCAGTCGTCAATCCTCCCAACTTCAAGGCCGGCCATTTTTCTTGGCCTCTTTTACAGCCATTCCAAACTGTTGAGAATGCTGTGGCCCTCTGTCTTAAGAGTCAGGCTCCCACAGACTGAGAATGGAGTTTGGTGGCCCCCCAAAGTCAAGCGTGCTCATCTCCTGCAGAGGGTTTGGAAAGCAGGGGTACCCGTGTTCCTATTCCTTGGCTGGCTGAGCATCCACAGCATGTGAAATGCTGTGCTTTGTTTGGTGAGGAGAGCAGAAAAGTTAACAGTCTAGTTACTAATTTTCTAGGTACTAATTTTCTCTAACATCGACCTTGTAACGCAAGCCTTCTGGAAGTAGCACCATGCTAATAGGTCATGTCTAAACACAACACCACATTGAGTTTGTCCTTGTGGAGTACACAGCCTAGGGCTCAGCAGCTTTAAGAGGCCAAGTGATTTCTGAAGGAGTTTGGGAGGTGATCGGCCTGTTGGCTCTTGTATGTTTTGTATTGATAGAACTGCAAGAGGCCTTTGAGATTAATCTAATCCATTGCTTCTTAACTTTCTATCTTTAGAAAAATGTACATGCATCCCAAATTTGCATATAATGTTGGGAGTGCAAGGGCCATCTTTGGACTTTAGGGTGGGAACCCCTGATCTAAGCCATGCCCCTTGTTTCATTAAGCACCCATTGCTGCCAAAGGCACTTCAGAGCTGCCTGGGTTGTGTGCAGGGTTTCCTTTGTGAGCCCTGGCCTCCACTTGGCCCATTCATGCCTCAAGGGAAATGCAGGCCATTTGCAGATGGTCCTTGCCCTCTCAGCCTTCCCTAGCTCTCTGCACATATGGTATTTATAACCTTTCCTACATTATTTGTAGCTTCTCCTTCCTGGAGTACGATCACTGACAAGACAACATCCATGCCTTAGCATCTCCAGGGCCTCTTCCAGGGTCTCAGCTATAGGAGGTTCCCAGCAGACATTTTGCAGAATGGAAGGGAAGATGGGGAGAGGCGAGGATCCCCAAGCAGCAGACAGGTTTAAGTGCCTTTTGTCTGAGACACTCTCCCGGCTTTGCCTGAGTCATCGCTGGCTGTTAACTGGGTCTAAGAAAGTGGCAGAGTCAAATTGCCACAGATGATTCCTTATCTGAGGGAGACAGCAAGACTGGGAGAGGCAGATCTCTCTTCTTTCTTATCCTCCATGTGCAATAGTTCCCTCTCCCCACTCATGTCAGCAACTGAATTTAGCTCATGCGTCAAAAGCTGTCTCCCCTTGGGGGAGTGTCAGCCAGCACTGTAGGAGGGGTCGTACCACAGGGAACCCTCCAGAACCAAATCGTGTACTTTTCTTCTTTCTCATAAAATCCAATAAACAGTTGTTTTTAATTGGAAAATATAGAAAAGAATAAATTTAAAGAAGAAAGAAAGTCACCCATAATCCCATGACTTAGGAGAAGCTATTTTAATTTACATATAAAACATTTATATATAAAGCATATAATTTATATATTAAATATATTTCCAGTATTTGTAGCTATTTTATAGCACAGTTGAGATCATGCTGTATATGTAATTTTGTGTGCTGGCTTGTTTGTTTTTGTTTTTGAGATGGAGTCTCACTGTGTCACCCAGGCTGGAGTACAATGGCACAATCTCGGCTCACTGCAACCTCCGCCTCCTGTGTTCAAGCGACTCTCCTGCCTCAGCCTCCCAACTAGCTGGGGTTACAGGCGCCTGCCACCACGCCTGGCTAATTTTTGTATTTTAAGTAGAGAGATGGGGTTTCACCATGTTAGGCAGACTGGTCTCGAACTCCTGACCTCAGGGTATCCACCCACCTCAGCCTCCCAAAGTGCTGGGGATTACAGACGTGAGCTACTGCATCTGGCCAGTTTTTCTTACTTATAGCGTGAACATTTCCCATGTTATAAGCATTATTTGTAAGCATTATTTTTAACAACTGCATACTGTTTCACTGTTTGTATATACAATTATTCATTTAACTAATGAATAATAACTAATGAATAGCATTGTTTTTAACAGCTACATACTATTTCATTGTGTATACATACGAGTCTTCATTTGCTTAATCTACTTCTCTTGGATGTTTTAGGCTATTTCTAATTTTTTGTTATTGTAGAATAATTCTGAATATCTCTGTGTATAATATTTTTTCCTATATTGTGTGTGTGGTTTTTTTGGTTTTTGTTTTTGTTTTGTTTTGCTTTGTTTTTTTTGAGATTCCCAGAAGTGGAATTGCTAGGCCAAAGGTTGGGCAGAGTTTTGTTTAAATTATTTTTTAACTTTAAAATTTTTGTATTAAGAGTCATATTTGGCAGTTGTTTTCCAAGAGGGTGAGTTGACACTGCATCCCTTCCCCAGAGCGAGTGAGGCTGCTCTGGGGTGGATAAGTGCGTCCATGCCTAGGTCTCAGAAGGTCTCCTCCCCTCCCTTCTCCCATCCCTGCTTCTCGCCTTGATTCTTGTCTCCATCCCAGGCCTGAACCTGTGAGGGGCCTTTTCCTCAGAAACAAAGACTTGCCTCTTCATTCCCCCAGTTCTTGGCGTTTTGCCCCTGAGGGTCCATCTACTTTCTGTTATATGTGCTTGCCACGGGGTCTATTTCTTGTCTCAGGAAGAACACACAGAAAAGGACATTCTTCTAATAACTAATTAATGTGCTGTGATCTTTGCCTGAAATAACTTCCCTGGCCTAAGGCCCGGCAACACAGAGTAATAAAATAAACAGTAAATTGGCTTGGCGGCTGCCCTCTCCAACACAGGCTGCCTCTTTGGAGTACAGTAGCTCTGTGTCCTCTGGCCCTGGCAGCCTTTCCTCCTGCCTCTGCTATTCTTCTCCGTTTGCTATTTCTCTGCCTGGCATGCAGCCCCGAATCCCTCCTTCCTTAGACCATCTGGCCCCTGGTCACTCTTTCTTGCTGCCTACTTCTGTGGCCCCTTATTCTGCAGGTAGTGGAGGTGAGTAGCTGGCTGCTCCAGGGGCCGAGAAAGACCTGAGTACTTCCGTGGGCCATGAGGGAGGCCTCCCGGGACCTTGGCAGAGCTGAGATAGGGGCTCTAGCGGGTTGGCTGTGGGGCCTGGGGCTGCAGAGCTAGGCTGCCCTGGGCTCCACAGGGAGGCTGGGCTGGTCTCGAGGGTTGCACGGACCTTCTATCATGTGACTTGGACTCTGAGGCATGAGC